TAGTTTCTGACAGAGTACCAGTGAGGTGAGAAAGAACATCAGTGACAGAACAGAAACAAATGGAAAACGAATTATTAAATGTATAAAGATTAAACCAGCCACATCTCTTTATGCATTGGCTTAGGAGATCCAGCTGGAATGGCATCTCCTACAAAATATATAATAGGAAAACTTATTTAGTCCACACTTATTATCACTACTTCTGTACCATCTGTTATCGAAGGGCCTTCCTGGACCACTCCAGCCATGCCACTACCAAATACAATTCTATAATTTAGTTGGCCAGTTCAACATCACCCAATCCAGAAACCAATGGACTATGATGAGAATATGCCATAGGAGTCACACGAGGGTCATTTTGAAATCATGTCCAGGGTGAATAGCTGGAGCAGTGATTAACAAGCTATTCATTTTGCTGCCCATTAAAAAAGACCAACTCTAACAACAGAGATCTGTAATAACTATCAAACGTTATCCAACAGGTTTGGAAGGTCACACCAGAAAAGCTTTCAGAACAAAGTTTTGGAACAGGGTATAGAGGAAAGAAGATACCTTAGCCAATTTGAAAAAACTTGCCTAATCATCTTAGCCAGACACCTTTTGTGAAGTGATAGATTTGTTGGCACATGACCAATCTATAGACCCCATAACAGATGAGCATGAGAAAAAGGCTGAAGCAAAGTACATGTACATTCTTAAAGAAAGCTCTTCAGTTGGTAATGGAACAAGAGTCAAATGAGGTCATGAATAAATTATTAAAGGAACCATCTAAAAGTTATGGGATTATTAGGCTCTGTAGTACTGAAACATCAACCTCCTCTACCTGAAAAACTGAAAGAATTTATCAGACAGCTAGTTACACAAAATAGGAGATATAAATTGCCAAAAAATGTGTGTTTCAAGTGTAACTAGAAAGGAAACATTGGAAGGAACTGAATATTAAATCAGAATGAAATAAGAACTTCCAGAAGATACTAGAAGGAGGGAACAGTTATAATTGTGGAGAATCTAGCCATTACATCCAAAACTGTAAAAAATCAAAATTTTTTATTAAGCCAAGGAAACAAGAGCCCAGCCAGATCAAAGGACTATCACACAGTTAACAAAACATCAAGAAAGCAGGAATCAGTTGGATTTATAATGCATATTCAGCTGGAAATATTCCATCCAATCCAAATAAGAAAATAAGTTCATTATTTGAGGACAATCATCCATGAATCCCTGGGCTTGAAGATGGAAAACCTTGTTATATACTGATATAAACTAGCTCTGCAGCTACCATTTTTTGACCCGAGTTGTTAATGAAAGATGGGGATTTGCCTCTAGAAATAAAGAAATAGATAGGTTTGATGCAAACAGCAGGTGGACAAAGTTCTAGCAAGGGAAGTTGGAAGTTATTCTGTGCCTTATGATGTGTGAGTAATTTACATTGAGGAAGAGTGTACATTGGGAACTGACTTCATGTGGAGACATGGATGAGAGGTCAGGTTAGTTACAAATAGTTTAACTGTCTATGACCAGGAAATTCCAATGTACTACTGGACAATTACCAAATCAAATGCTGGGCTTCCAGTGACAACAACAAAGGTAGTCACTGAACCATCAGGAAGTGAAATACCCACACCAAAAGATATTAGCAATGATTTCTCATCTAGTGACTAGGGTGTAGTGGAAACAAATATTCCATTATTTCCTGAGGAATTGATGGTTGGAGAAACTGTCATGGATGTGAAGAATAAAGATGTTGTCATGACCTTATCCTAGGAACACTTAAGTCAACTTGTGGTAAAACAAAAGGTAGTTATGAAGTAAATACTGATAAAACTGAATTTCATGGCTGAAGAGTTTTCTTCACAAGGAAGGACAAACTCCAAAGTTAAATAGGTGTTCAAATGCCATCCAAGTCAAAGGTCATTCACTATAATCATCTTTGGAAGTACAATGGTAAGAGATAGACCAATGAGGTAATTTCAGGAAGAACTTTAGAGTGAAACCTCAATTTGCAGAGAAACCCAGAGTTACTGTCAATATTACCTCCAGAGAATCCTCAAGAATGGAGTCACCAGTGGATTCATTCAAGCACCTACCCAGGAAGAATGCTCCAAGTGATAGAATGGCCAGTGACAACAAAGGACAAGACACCATCCTAATTGTAAACCATAGGCCTTGGAAATGCAAACCATCAAAAATATTTGGTCAATAAACAGTTTAGTGTATTGTTTAATTAGTTTTTGTAATAGGATTGTTTAAGGGACTTCACAATCCGAGATGAGCGCAGTGTTATAAGCTATATTTTTAATACTGAAATTTAAATGTTAGCAACAGTACAGGGAAATGCAGGTCATCTTGATGATGTTAAGTTAGGTCTATAAAGTTCTAAAGATTTGACACCAGGTTTTATAGTATATTCATTAATGGGAAGATTATAAATATGTGATTCTGCAAAGCAAAAACAAGTTCACTCAGAAGATAGTAGAGTTGTTCCTAGCTGGAAGAGTGAATCAGTGTTTCTTTTTATTTTCAGAGAAGTGTTTGAATTTGTATTAACTGTCATACATATTGAGTTATCATATACAAGTAAATTGATTTTTATGTTAGTGTACTGCAGTTAGTCATTTGTGAACATGGCCTAAGAGTTATCTCAGTGTTCAAGCTTGTAAATGTAATAAATGAAGAAATAAACCTCTACATGGACTGGACTTTGAATTATTTTCACTAGACCATTTAAAACAACTCCATCAACAAAAGAACATTACAACAGTGCCTTATGATTCTTGTACTTTTAAAAACGGCTCAATCTTGCTCATCTTCATCTTTATACATTATTTAATCTTTTTTTTTAATTCCATTGTTTACTTTACTTCAGTTAATACAATTATGAAGATAAAAGAATTAAATTTAGACTGCACATAGTACCCATCCATAAAATAATTTTTACAAATATAAAAGTGTGACACCTTAATTCCATCTTTCACTCATTTCTGTTGTACTGAAATCTAGTCATCTTACATACAAGATACATTAAATAATTACAATTTGATTGCTTTTTATATTTTTATAACAGATAGTTAAGATGTCCTGATACTGTATAGTATTCACACCTTCCAACATATAAAACATGAGTCATGTCTAAATGAATTATCATAATTAAATTGACAAATACTTTTACAATAATATTTGTAAAAATCTAGGTTTTGATGTGCTACTTAATGTCATTAAAGAGTTAAGTAATGAATATATATTACTAAGATGGCACTAAAACATTTTTAAACCTTTGATCACCAGTTGTTTTAAAATTTATCAAAAGTAAATATAATCTCTATAGAATACATAATGATTGAAAAATGAAATCTTGCACAGAATAAAATTACCTTTTACAGGGGAACATGGTTTTCATTAGGTAACTTGGGTAACAAATAAGAAACCTTTTGAATTAAAAAATAATTACATATCTAATAAGCTTACACCTGATAACATGAGCTCAATAAACCAAGGTAAAACTATTATTGTTTCCTCAGTCTTAAATAGCTGGGAGGATAATTAAAGAAAAATCTTGCATTAATTCAATCAATTATTGATTATCTTAAAGCTGAATTTTTCTATTATAAGTTTCAAAACTAAATAACATTATCCATCATAAGCAAAACTTAGGATCTTGAAATACTAAAAGTAACCAAAATATGATACTTTGTTCATTAGAGAACCATCTTTAATAACTTTCATGAAAGACAAAAGATACATTTAATGTAAAACCTGCAAACAATTTAAATGCACATAGAATCACAAAAAATGTCAAGAATAATATTGCATGCAATCTAAATAATCTTCCTTTCATCACAGAAATGTTTATAACAATGCAGTAGCAGTGATTTAAATGTGTGTAGAGATTTTGTAAAGCTTAGTTAAACATATAATACCGTCACCATGTGATTTAGCTCATGATGAATTGTATTATTTGTAGCTAATTTTATAGACAAAAGGAATCTCAAGAATTTTAAAACTTTTCTGTGGGTAATTTTTTATGATAGTTTGATTACAATCTTCATTTTATGTTAGTGGTGAAGGTAAATGTTTTCATTTAATATTGTAAAAGTGAACCTGAAGTGCATTTGAAGTGAAAGTGTTTGAATGATTTGTACTGCTAGGATCATCGAGGTTGGAACAGTGATTGACAAGCCACTCAACAGTCTCAAGCCATTGAAGTAGTGCTCTGTTTAGTAAAGCTAACAGAATTTTAGGATTTATTGCCATACATAATGATTACAAGTCAAAGGATGTAATTATCTCTCAATACATATCACTAGTTAGGCTTCATTTGGAATATATATATATATATATGACATATCAGAAAAGATTTTAAGGAGTGCTACTAGAACTAGGATGATTCTTGGGATGAAAGAATAATATTATGGGATAGGTAATCTCTTAACTTATTTTCTCTTGAGAAGAAATGGTAAGAGGTGATCTTTCTGAAGTTTACAAGATTATGTAAGCAACAGAATAAAGGAATGATTTCTTAGTCGTACATTCTGAAGATAACTGGATGAGAGAACACAAAATTTAGAAAAACAGTAGACTCCAATTAAGACAAATTAATGTTTTTAAACAGTGAGCTTAATTTATGGAATGTGTAGCTATCAGCAGAAGTAGTGAGAAGAACTTTAAGGAATTTAAGAGAGGAGTTCATGATTTCCTTAATAATAAAAGGTGGATTTGAATTTTTACTTTTTTTAAATGGTGTGTAACTATAACAGTGTAAGAATAGTCTTGCAAGTTGAAGCATCAAATTGTCCTTTCTAGTACTAATATTATAAAATAAAATAAAAATATTAATATGTTATAAATGAACACTCAGGACTTAGTACCATGCCCAAGTATTTTCATTTTGAAAGTTCTAAATCCTAACGATGGATTAAGTAACAGAACAGCTAGCTCAACCTTAGAAATTAGGATAGCAAACTTAAGACAAACCTAAAAATGAAATGTTATTGTTAGCTTACCTGCTGAGCTACTGGTTCCAAAATACTTTCAATTGTTTTTGTGTGGAAAACTGGCATCTTTGGTTATTCGAGTTACTAGAAAATTATACCCAGAAAAATCAAGACATTAAAACATTTATAATAATCATACACCTCATAAATTATGCTTTCTAGCACAATTTATCTTGTTCTTCAGATTTGACTGTCGACTGGGTTGGGTCAAAAACCATCGAGTGAGTACAGAGTAATTGGGTGCTAGTGCCCTCTCTCGGTACTTTTTTTTTATAGAAGAAGCAGACTAATTTCAAATGTTTATAATCTGTTTTAAACTTTTTCTTATACTTTCAGACTTTACTTTATGTGTAAAAAGTCTAAAAATGAAATACTATTTCTTGTTTTAATGTTATATATAAGATCAGTTATATTGCAGAATAGACTGGATTTGAAACGTCTTGACAATTCCATTTTATTTAATTTTTTTATTTAGCCAAGGGCGCCATTCGTGGGCTCGACAAAGTGCGTGCTTATTGGTTGACAGAGCATGTACTGCACCTACTTCTAACTAGGAACACTGGTAGTTTACCATACATGGAAATGATCGTATACTAAAATTTCACTATCCTTCTGTCATACGCTTTTGAACAGTTAGTTTTAGCACGTGGTTTCGAAAAAGCCGGTTGTTGACGTAAGTATTATCGTGATTGATTGCATCACGACATATTTCTTCTTGACTACGATAATTGTAGTGTTTTATTATACTAAGTTACAAAAGTGTAATTTTGAACTGCCATAGTTTAATAATGATAAAAAAAAAACATAATTTTTTTGTTTAGCATAAAACTACACAAATGGCTATCTGTATTCTGCCCGTCGCAGGTATCGAAATTCGATTGTTAGGGTTATAAACTCTCAGACTTGTCGCCAAACCACGGGGAGTAAACCTGAATGTATCATAGACTTTACACGATCTGTTTCAGCAACCATTATTTTATGTACAAATTAAGCAACTTTTTGAAAATTAAATTCTAACAAGATGTATATCATAACACGTTTTTAGCAAAAAATTATATAGGTACACAGTGTTATCAATAAAATAGATCAAACTAACGAGATGACACTTTATATTATGACTTTTTAGAGCATTCCTTATTTACATATTACCTGTTTAACCTCTAGATTTTAGTTATTATCCACAATAGAATCGCCATAACGTTTACAAGTTCAGGAACGCATTACATGTATGAATATCTACGAGAAACGAAACTCGCTGACAGCTGTGGCGTCGATATACAATTAGTGCATTTGGAAAATGATTTCTATTACAATAAACATGTGAAAATGTGTTGTTGTTTGTTTGTTTTGTCTTTACTTTAATATAAAGTATGCTGTTGTTACCAAATATATATTGTTACGTCAGCGAGTCACATGACTAGTGTGACGTCACGTTTCTAGAACTATCCCGTACCTTGGCGAATGCTCTAGTATTTACTAGATATAGGGTAGTTTGGTATATAAACGAGGGTGACAACGTGACGGAATAATAATGTAATGTGTGTGTAGGTAATG